AAAGCTTCCTAAGAAGTTTGAAAATGTAAAAATGTTCTGTGTCAAAATTTTTTAAGAAGTCCCTCTCTGAATTCCCTTGGAAACAATGCAAGAAAAATCCCTGGCTCAAATGCTTCCCCCCTCAAACCTCCATAAATACAATGGGACCCCAAGATGTAGACATTATTGGTGCTTGGACCTTGTCCCTATGTTTGATTGTCTGCATGTTGAACCTCATTTTCCCATAGACTTCCATGCAAAAGTATTTATTTGGTTCTCCAGTTTTTTTTTCAAAAAATTGGGAATGAGCCCTCCAAAAATTTATAAAAATTGTTTCCCAAAACTCCAAATTATAGAAAGCAAAAAGGGCAGAAGAAAACCACATAGAATCTCATATTTTGGCATAAAAAGGAGCCCAACAAGCTAAGAACAAGAATATGTCTTGCTATAATGTGCATAGATGATAGAAAAAACTCTAAAAAAGTAGCACAAAATGAAATTGTTTTTGATTGTGAATTGGAGTAAATTATTTACATTGAAATATTTTCAAATTTTTATGAATAGCTCGATTTTTCTGAGACATCAAAATTACAATACTGTATAAAATTTTTTGATTTATGGAAAATGTCAGAAAAGTGTCCCAATCTAGAGCCAATGTCTGGATGTTGGATTTAATAGATTTTTTTGGGGTTTAAAGTGTCCATAAGTCAAAGTGTACAGTTGTCAGGGTGTCCTCATATTGTGGTCTCACTGCTGTATAATTTTCTGGAGGTCTTTTAGTTATTATCTTATTGATGCAGCAGGAAATATGAAAGCAATAAAAATGTAAGTTGATGTGCTTTTAAAGGAAGTTACAAGACTAATTGTGCACATGAACCCCTGACTCCAAATTCACCATCCCATCAACTAATTTAAAAAGAAATTGAAGGCCCACAATATCACCAATTACAATGCCCTGTAATTATCTTTATTTTCCTAGAAAAAATACTGGCTCCCTGAACTCAAAACCCAAATTTTTTTTTTTGGTCTGGTCCCTTGAAGTTCGACTTGAAGTGGTACAAGTGTATAATAAAATGTCACCTCTTAAAATTGATTTTTCCATATTTTTGTGACTGTTTACATTTTAAATGAATGAATTGGGATTTATTTCAATTTTTATACAGTACAGGTGAACCTCAATAATTTGAACCTCCCTAAGTCGAATTTTTTTCTGATATCTTCTGAATCCTCTTAGAAACAATACATGAAAAACCTCCTTAAGTTGAAGGCTTTTCCTTGACATTTTCTGGACAAAATAAATGGAAAAGCAATACAATTAAAAATTGATGTGTCTGAAAAGGAAGTGAGAGACTTAATTGGGCAAATGAATGCCTGCCTACAAGTTCAGCTTCCTTTCAAATAATGTAAGAAGCAATTTAAGCCCCAGAATACCACCATTTACATTGTTGGGCTATTTTTCTATGTTTCCCAGAACAAAAGAGCTGAGTGTTGTGGCTAAAACCTCTNACTTTTTCAGACTCTAAAAAAAGTTTTATTTGAAAGATCCCATAGTAGGCATTCAAAAAGTTTCTGCTTTTTTCAAAAATTATGAACCCACTAAGCAGCTATTGACCTTCAGTATATCTTCAAAAAATGAGAAAGCTGATTTTGAAAAAGGTTCCTCAGAATGGAAAAAAATTAAAATTATCTTTATTTATGTCAGCCAGTGAAACTTTGTCTGATGTGTTGAGAGAAAGTCCAACTTTTATTTTCATCAGATAATTTCAACTGCCATTGTCCTTCCAAAATGTTGGGTAAAGATGATATAAAGTCATCCCTACTTTTAATACTGTACATGTTCTATGCTGAAAAATTTTCCAGGGATTGGCAAAAAATGTCTTAGGACCAGTGCTGGTCTGTGGATCATGGGCTGGGGAACACTGGTTTAGACCATTGTTCCCCAACGCTTTTGTGGTGGGAGACTGGCAAATTTCAACAACAAAAAATTAAGCGGACCAATAAATTCCCAAAATAATTTCTGCAGACCAGCAAAGCTTCATAAAATGTTTGCTGACTCACCAAAGTTTTGCTTGAATGTTATTGGGCAGGCACTGTATTTACCAAGACAAAATCAGCCATGAATTTCATCAAACAATTAGAAAGGTTTACCTGGAAAGAGGTTTCTCGGAATTAAAAATCAAAAAAGAAAATTATTTCAGCAGGTGAAGATTTGTCTGAAGTGTTATTAAGAGAAAAGCCAACTCTTGTTTTCATGAGACAATTCAGCAGCCATATTGTCCTTCCAAAATTTTAGGTAAAGAGAACATACCGTATTTACTTGAGTACCACGCGCACCTTTTTTCTTGAATTTCAGGAGAAAAAAGGGGTGTGCGTCATAAGCGGGTACAAATTTTTCAAGAAGTTTTAGAAAGTTCTATGTGCATTACACTTAATCATAATGGAGAAATTTGGAAAAAAAGTGACAAGAAAACTTTTTTGTACTGAAAATAAAGTTGAAAATTGGTCAGATTTTTGTTAAATTCATGTCTGAAGTCAAATTTTTTGTTTCTATTTTCGAAATTTTGTGGTTTTAGATTTACTTAAAATTGGGGGTGCGAGTCATACTTGGGGATACGATTTTAGCAAAATTTCCAACTGAAAAATCCCTGTGTGCGCCTTACTTAAGGGCGCATGGTACTCGAGTAAATACGGTACTTTATCCCAAATTTTGATAAATTTATTATGCAGAAAATTCCCCGCAGACCAGCAAAAAATAAAAATAAAAATTTGGACCATGGGCTGGGTGATCACTGGTTTAGACAATAGCTTATTAACTACATGCAAACTCCCTTTTTTTTTTTTGCTACTCGAAAATGAAATTGCGAAAATAATTTTTGGCTTCCGGCGGGAACATCCTCATTGTGATTGAATTGCGAGTTGAATTTGTGTTCTAGACCAAGATAACAATTTGCTGCAGTCTTCCTGGTGCAAATTTCCACCTTTAAACTGGTGGTTTCCGCGAGCAAAAATAAATACGGCATGTACTGGTCTAAACTGGGTCGTCCATAAAAACAAAATTAATTTAGTAGAATTTTCCGAAAAACCAAATTCAACCTACTTTGTTGAACTGAAAAAAAACTGAATTCAGTCTCACATGAAAGTTAAATTCCTTGCGAATCTTTTTTTTTTCAAATGTAAATTTAGTCCAAAAATGTTCGTTTATGACTTTTTTAATCTGTTTGAAAATCTCCGATGTGAAGCCTCATGTGACCTCAAAGTAAGAGACTTAGGACCTCACTAAGAATTTTTGGTACTTTTACTCGGGTATCGATGTTGCTGTCGGTTTGAGATGCTTTTTTCTGCATGATTCTGCTGGCAAATTTTTATTAATTTTCTTGATAATCTTCTGATAAATCGGCAGAAAAAATGGGATTTGGAAAAGATGATCGTTTCTTTGGTTTTGAAAAAAACACGAATTTTTTCAACACAAATCTAATTGTAAACAATTTGTGCTAATAAATATTTATACTTAATGATTTTATAGGTCATTATTTTATAATGATTATAGATTTTATTAAGTCTGTTTCTCTTGAGCCTTGATAATTTAAAGCTTCCTAAGAAGGTTAAAAATGTAAAAATTTCCTGTGTAAACATTTTTTAATAAGTCCCTCTCTGATTCTCTTGTAAGAAAAATCCCTGGCTCAAATGCTTCCCCCCTCAAACCTCCATAAATACAATGGGACCCCAATATGCAGACATAATTGGTGCTTGGACCTTGTCCCTATGTTTGATTGTCTGCATGTTGAACCTCATTTTCCCATAGACTTCCAATTAAAAGTATTTAATTGGTTCTCCAGTTTAAAAAAAATTAGGAATAAGCCCTTCAAAAATTGATAAAAAATTTTTCCCAAAACTCCAAATTATATAAAGCGAAAAGGGCAGAAGAAAACCACATAGAATCTCATATTTTGGCATAAAAAGGAGCCCAACAAGCAAAGACCAAGAATATAAGTCTTGCTAAAATGTGCATAGATGATAGAAAAAACTCTAAAAAAGTAGCACAAAATGAAATTGTTTTTGATTGTGAATTGGAGTAAATTTACATTGAAATATTTTCAAATTTTTATGAATATAGATAGCTCGATTTTTCTGAGACATCAAAATTACAATATAAAATTTTTTGATTTATGGAAAATGCCAGAAAAGTGTCCATTAGATCTCGGTTACAGACCTACAACCTAAATTATCTAAAAAAACCCCAAATTTCACAGGTATTCAGTTTCACATGTCAACAGTCCCACAGGAGTATAACACCAGAGTGACGACATATTAAAAGACCATGTCTTTTGGTTATTATCTTATTGATGCAGCAGGAAAGATGAAAGCAAAAAAAATGTAAGTTGATGTGCTTTTAATGGAAGTTAAAAGACTAATTGTGCACATGAACCCCTGACTCCAAATTCACCATCCCATCAACTAATTTAAAAGGAAATTGAAGGCCCACAATATCACCAATTACAATGCCCTGTAATTATCTTTATTTTCCTAGAAAAAATAATGGCTTCCTGAACTCAAAACCCAAATTTTCTTTTTGGTCTGGTCCCTTGAAGTTCGACTTGAAGTGGTACAAGTGTATAATAAAATGTCACCTCTTAAAATTGATTTTCCATATTTTTGTGACTTTTTATATTTTAGATGAATGAATTGGGATTCATTTCAATTTATATTCAGTGCAGGTGAACCTCAATAATTGGAACCTCCCTATAAGTCGAATTTTTTTCTGATATCTTCTGAATCCTCTTAGAAACAATACATGAAAAACCTCCTTAAGTTGAAGGCTTTTCCTTGACATTTTCTGGACAAAATAAATGGAAAAGCAATACAATTAAAAATTGATGTGTCTGAAAAGGAAGTGAGAGACTTAATTGGGCAAATGAATGCCTGCCTACAAGTTCAGCTTCCTTTCAAATAATGTAAGAAGCAATTTAAGCCCCAGAATACCACCATTTACATTGTTGGGCTATTTTTCTATGTTTCCCAGAACAAAAGAGCTGAGTGTTGTGGCTAAAACCTCTGTAAGTCTAAACCTCTCTAAGTAGAATTTTTTTTATGGTCCTTTGAAATTCAACTTAGAGAGGTTCAAGTGTATTTAATCATTGGGTAACCTCAACATTCAGTAATGGAAACAGCAAAACTAATGCTTGGAACTGCTGTATGTTGATGAGTTGAATTCTAAATTTCAAAATTCAGTCATTCATTTGATTGGATGGAAACATGTTTCCTTGTCAAATGCAAAATAAATGAATCAAACTAAAATTGACACCATTTCAGCGACCAATATTACTCCAGGTTTAGACTAATATTACTCAAATTATTTGGGCCTGCATCCAGGAAAACTTCCATAAAATTGTTTGCAGACTGGCAAATTTCCAAAAAATTTCTTCTGACAAAAGTTTCATAACACTTTTTCAGACTCTAAAAAAAGTTTTATTTGAAAGATCCCATAGTAGGCATTCAAAAAGTTTCTGCTTTTTTCAAAAATTATGAACCCACTAAGCAGCTATTGACCTTCAGTATATCTTCAAAAAATGAGAAAGCTGATTTTGAAAAAGGTTCCTCAGAATGGAAAAAAAATAAAATTATCTCTATTTATGTCAGCCAGTGAAACTTTGTCTGATGTGTTGAGAGAAAGTCCAACTTTTATTTTCATCAAATAATTTCAACTGCCATTGTCCTTCCAAAATGTTGGGTAAAGATGATATAAAGTCATCCCTACTTTCAATACTGTACATGTTTTATGCTGAAAAATTTTCCAGGGATTGGCAAAAAATGTCTGAGGACCAGTGCTGGTCTGTGGATCATGGGCTGGGGAACACTGGTTTAGACCATTGTTCCCCAACGCTTTTGTGGTGGGAGACTGGCAAATTTCAACCACAAAAAATTAAGCGGACCAATAAATTCCCAAAATAATTTCTGCAGACCAGCAAAGCTTCATAAAATGTTTGCTGACTCACCAAAGTTTTGCTTGAATGTTATTGGGGAGGCACTGTATTTACCAAGACAAAATCAGCCATGCATTTCATCAAACAATTAGAAAGGTTAACCTGGAAAGAGGTTTCTCAGAATTAAAAATTAAAAAAGAAAATTATTTCAGCAGGTGAAGATTTGTCTGAAGTGTTATTAAGAGAAAAGCCAACTCTTGTTTTCATGAGACAATTCAGCTGCCATATTGTCCTTCCAAAATTTTAGGTAAAGAGAACATACCGTATTTACTTGAGTACCACGCCCACCTTTTTTCTTGAATTTCAGGAGAAAAAAGGGGTGTGCGTCATAAGCGGGTACAAATTTTTCAAGAAGTTTTAGAAAGTTCTATGTGCATTACACTTAATCATAATGGAGAAATTCGGGAAAAAAGTGACAAGAAAACTTGTTTGTACTGAAAAAGTTGAAAATTGGTCAGATTTTTGTCAAATTCATGTCTGAAGTCAAATTTTTTTGTTTCTATTTTCGAAATTTTGTGGTTTTAGATTTACTAAAAATTGGGGGTGCGAGTCATACTTGGGGATAGGATTTTAGCAAAATTTCCAACTGAAAAATCCCTGTGCGCGCCTTACTTGAGTAAATACGGTACTTTATCCCAAATTTTGATAAATTTATTATGCTGAAAATTCCCCGCAGACCAGCAAAAAATAAAAATAAAAATTTGGACCATGGGCTGGGTGATCACTGATTTAGACAATAGCTTATTAACTGCTTGCAAACTCCCTTTTGTTTTGCTACTCGAAAATGAAATTGCGAAAATAATTTTTGGCTTCCGGCGGGGTTACTTGTATTGTATATTTAAAGGTCGGCGCCTCGCTGTTCGCCAGCAACATCGGAAGTGAGCACTTCATCGGACTCGCCGGATCCGGCGCCGCTTCCGGCATCGGAATCGCCTGCTTCGAACTGCACGTGAGTTGAATCTCGTCACTTCCTCATTATTTCCGCTCATCCCGATGACGCGTGACTCCTCGTTTACATCCGCACCGGAAATACGAAATAAAATAATAATAATAATAATAATAATAATAACCCTGCGCAATGCATCTTTCTTCTTCTTCTCCTTCTTCCGCTTTGTTCAATATCGTCGTCGTCGTCGTCGTCGTCATCATCATGGTCGACACGCGGAGGAATTTCCCGCGCTTTAATGAAAAAAAATTCCCAGGCATATTCCTGGGAACTCGTCGACTCTCATCATGAGCCCCGTCGTTGAATCATATCGCCCTGCATTAATTCACGAACGATTTGACAAGGTGCTCTTTTCTATTTTCTCCCTCTCTCTGTCAATCAAATACTCGTATGAGAGCTGCCAGCAGAGTCGACAGCGTTTCCGCCCACAAACAAACTTTCCCTTTTTTGATAAGGACGCCTTTTCTTGTTTGTCTAAATGTTTAATTTATTCCACGCCTTATTAAATGCGATCCCATGCAGTACGTGACTCTTATTTTAATTTACTGTGCTCATACTCACTGGAGTAGAGTACAACGCATACCTTTCTGTGTATTGAATGCAAGAGGAAAAAGTACAGGGATTTGGTGTCATATACAGTGAGACCCCTAGCGGATGTAATTGGTGCATCAAGAGTGTCCCTAAGTTGAAATGTCCCCAAGTTGAGTCTCATTTTCCCTTAGACTTACATTATATAATTTTTAATTGGTGTTTTATGGACAAAATACTCACCATAATTCCATGAAAATGAAAATTGTCTCCCGATGGAAACTGATTCAGTCAATATATTTCAACACCATATGGTTACTTGGGGAATTGAATACTGATACCTCTGTACAGTACAAAGAAATGTTGGCATTCTCTGTAAAAATAACATTCAAGTTAAAAAAGAGAGAAGGAAGTCCCTCTATGCTGGAGGTAATTTTTTTAATTAGCTAAATGGATGGTAAATTGGTGAAAGAAATTCCCAAGGACTGTTCTTACATCAATTTTAGGGTTGGAAATGTCTGTTTCTTGTAATTTGGCCAGAAACCTATTTACAATTTTATCACAAAATGTCCCTGTCAAGTCTGTGTCCTCATATTGGGCCTTTTTTATTAAATTTTTTTTATGGGGAAATAAGTGTCTCTATGTTGAATTGTCCACAAGTCAAGGAGTCATCCACATGTGGGGGTCTCATTGTAGTTTGGTTACACATACAATTTTTTAAACATAAATTTAGATGTACGTCATATTTGATATTATGCAGGAACATTTTAAGCCAGTTTAACAAAGAAAAACGTATTTTTAACGGAAACTTAGTTTTGCAGCAGTTAAATAAAAATGGTCACATTGTTCAGAGCAGAAAACGTTGGACAGTAGAGATACACAAGATGAAATGAAGTTAACCAGCATTGGAACACAGTACAGGTATAAGTACCGTAAAATTACGTTACAATAAAGAATCTCTTTATGACCAATTTTTATTTACAGGTTAACCTTGATAACTTAAACCTCCCTAAGTTGAAATTTTTTCAGTCCCCCATCTGAATCGCCTTTTGAAACAATACATTAAATACCTCCCTAAGTCAAAAGCTTTTCCCCTCAAACCTCTGTCAGTCGAATTTTCTTTGGCCCAAAAAATAAAAAAGCAATAACAACAGATTTTCATGTGTTTTAAAGGGAGAGAAAGGCTTAATTTATTGGGCAAATGAACCCCTAACTCCAAGTACAGCAGCCTTCAACTCATTTAAGAAGCCACTTAAGCCCCAGAATATGACAATTCATATTTTTTTCAAGTTTCCCAACAAAAAAAGGACTTAGTATTGTACTTCAAACCTATATAATTCACAACCTCCCTAATTCAATACCTCCCCAAGTTGATTTTTTTAAGGTCCCTTGAAATTCAACTCAGAGAGGTTTGACTATATAACGATTTTCTTTGTATAGGAACATTGGTATAACAATTTAATTTTGACAAACTAATTTTTGTTGCTGAAATTTGAGATAATTCTTATGATGACCTTTTCATAGAGACAGAGGAAGAGGACATTTATTTACCTTGTGAAAAAATCCAAAAAAATTAACTTGTGCTGCATCAAATTTTTTAAATAAAAAGTCAAAGCTTTTTGCAAAGAAAATGTGATACAGTACAGTATTGAAAATCTACAAGGCATGCTGATATTTTCTTGAAATTTATTTAGCCTCTTTTGAGTATTTTGCAATAACTCTTTTTAATGTGCCTCTTATGTAATAGAAAATGGGCGTGGTTGAATGCATGTTATTTGAAAGAAAAAAGCTACTTATTATACCTGGCATTTTAAATTTTTTCCTCCCGGTTGGGCACGTTCTTCATGTCCGTTTTGCCATTAGTGGTGTGTTTTTCTTTCTGGGGAAAACGTGCCTCAGCCCTAATTCTTGAGTGTTATTTCACTTCAAAACTTAGTGGAAATTTCTAAAGTATTGATGCAATTTCGAATTTAAACTACAGTACTGTATTTTGAACTATTAAAACTATTGAAAAAACTGGGTGAGGAGTAGAACCTGCAAAAATGAAAAAAAAAATTGGCGATGAACAGCGGATGGCGACAAGATCTAATGGGACTTGGACAAAAGTCTCCTTATATATCCTGCTTTTTGACCTTGAAGCAGAAGATTAAAAAGTAATTAAAATAAAAAGCATAGAAGTTTCATAAAATTTTGCGGTAGTATAAGTAAAATATCCCTGGCAGAAACTAAGCCTTGGATGATATTTTTGAAGTGGAAATGAAAAACAATTAGAAATGAATCCCTGCTCTTGGAAAAAAAATGCAAAATGCACTTGGCTTTTAATTTGTTGCAAACAAAATAATCATTGAAAATTTCAGAAAATGTAGTAAAGTTCATGCTTAATTTTGTATGCTACATACATTTTTTGTCTGGCCTGAAAATTGTGTTACATGTTGTGACATGTGTGGAGAACTCGCACCAAAACTGGAAAGTTTTTGTTCTTCGTCATTCTTTAAATTTAAAATGTTTCATAAAAATCTTTTTAGAAAATCCCAGAACCTTATGATTACATGGGCTAAATCATGTAATTTTTTCCCCAGTATTACCTACTCCAGAAATACCCAAGGCCAAGCAGACGTGGGACAACCCTCATATTTTGAAGTTAATGTATGTGACATATTATTATAACAAAGCGTGTTGTAAACTTGTAACAAATTCATGCTTATGTAGAAATTTCTCCAACAGTCCAAAGTTCATTAGGATAATTTTTTTTAAATATTGCTGCAAGGAATCCAAGGAATATTTTTTTCATCATTCTTTCTTCTTTTTTTACCAGAAGAATGTACGTTTTTTTAATGATGATTCAACGTTTTTTTTAAACTAATCTGTTCAGGTTCTAATTGCTTCGTTGTAACGAGATTTCAGTGCAACAGCATCTTCCTTCATTGTCTATTGATGCACCGAAGGTTTTTTCAAAAACCTACACGAGACCTGACTTTTTAGACCACGTTACAAATAATTATATTTGTAAATGAATGTACATACAGTATGTGGAATACGAGGGTTCTAACAAAAGTTCTCGGAGTAGCAATGAAAATGGCTTACAATTGAGCTGAAAAAATGTATTCTTTAGGGAAAACATATTCTTTGGCACACAAAAAAATATCAGCCCTGTTTGACAAATTTTTTTGAATTTTTTTTTTAAATTCACCCTGGCAGAGTTTTGCTCTCCACTCGAAGGATTATAGGCGCCCTTTTTTTGTTGTAGCCCAGCTTTCCCCTCAGAAATTTTGAAATCAACTTGGCATTCTTTCTAAGGGTGGCCTCCAGGTCTTCCAAGGCAATTCCGTCATTTTCATCAACAGCCGCCTTCACAGCCGCCACATTGGCTGCCACTTCGGCGGCTTCGAAGGCGGTTGTTGATGAAAATGGCGGAATTGCCTTGGAAGATCTGGGTGCAACCCTCAATTGTGAATGCTGAAAACGTTGAGCCAGCAAATTTTTTTTTTTGCGTTTATGAACCACACCAACGTAATAAATATTACTTATGGTGATACTTTTTTCACAGGGATTTTTGATGAACTAATCTACAGTTCATTTTGAGAAATGCATTTTGCCCCTGAAGTTATGCAGGGTTTCATAGTATGTTCTTGACTTATCTATTCAAAGTTTTGAAAGACCCTTTGCGTAGATTGTCTTCAGTTTAAAATCTCAAACTAATTCACAATAACGTGTCCATTTCCAAAGATGTTTTCAAATGACTCTCAGATGGAAATTCATAGTCAGTCCTCATCAAACAGAGATTCAATTTCTAATCATGAAAAGGGAATGTGCAAATAAAAAAAAACAGAGCTGATCATGGCATTCAATTAAGCCGTCGCGACAAGCAGTACACAATCTCAGTGAATAAATGTCCGCTGAAACACGCGCTGATTGGAGTCAGAAAAGTTTGATATCAATCAAGGAATGCTATCCATTAAATAATCGAGTATTGGTTCATATCTAACGATCTTTCTATTGAGATTCAAACGAAGGAATATTGCACGAAGTTGAACTGTTCACCTTCTCGATTATTTGCGGCCAAAGTCACACGCATGCGTCATTCATTATTGCGTTTTTAAAGAATATTTGTTGACTTGTTATCCTTGTTTGATATTTAGTTCAAGAATTGTCTACTCTTTCTTTTATCGTATAGAAATTGATTTTTTCTGGGGTTGAATAGTCAAATCATCCGTATATTCATATTTGCCTTATATTTTCTGTTTTGAGATTTGCTTGGGAAACAATGTTCAAGTATTCCTTGCAAATTTAGTTCATGCCCTGCGATTTTCTCTATTTTCCTCGTTTTATCATTTTTAAAAGAAAACAGTAACGTTTGATTTTCATAAACTTGTAAATAGCGATACATTCGCGAAGATAAAATATATGTATCCGAATTTTTACTTTTAAATTTTCGTTTTTGTTTTGTTTGGGGACGCGTCAGTTTTGGATGCACGTGCTTGCCACAAATAATTTTTTTAATGGTGTCATTTGGAGTTTAATTAAGCAAATGTTCTGCTTTGTGACGCCCAATTGCGTAACTTTTCATACGAATAAAAAATGCAGGCAGGGCTATTTATTGGTTACTATTTTTCGACCTGATGTAAATGAAGAGCCATTCCGCGACGCGCCTCTTTCTAACAAAAAAAAAGGGCGCCTCATCTTTTCAGTGGAGAGCAAAACTCTGCCAGGGTGAATTATGAAAAAAATTCAAAAAAATTGTCAAACAGGGCTGCATTTTTTTTTTGTGTGCCAAAGAATATATTCTCCCTAAAGAATAAATTTTTTTCAGCTCAATTGTAAGCCATTTTCATTGCTACTCCGAGAACTTTTGTTAGAACCCTCGTACAGCATAACGAAGCGCGTTTTAATGAATACATCCTTGTATAAAGAAAACTTGAATACAGTATAATCAAAACCTCATGAGAAGAATGTATTTTTTCTCTTTCAAATGTCGACGATGCGAAGATTTATTTTTATTTATGGGTATTCATTATTATTATTATTATTTTTAAAAATCTGTCCCGGGTTCCAGCGATTGCTTCGTTGTATAACCATGAGATTCCACTGTAACATCATCAGCATTCCTCACAGGCAATGTTCACCATGATCGTGCTGGGCTGGGTCTTTGTTCCGGTGTACCGAGCAAGCGGGGTTTTCACCATGCCGGAGTACCTGAGGAAACGCTTCGGGGGTCAACGGATCCGGGTGTACATCTCGTGTCTGGCTCTCATGCTCTACGTCTTTGTCAAAATATCGGTGAGTCCACATCGTGTAATTAAACAACTTGCATAGCATTTGCGACCTCTTGGGGGAGGGGGGGGGGGATTAATAAGATCGAGTACCATCCACGATGAGCACTTGAGCATAACACCAGGCATCCCTGAGCAGGGGTTTACAGTCATAGAAAAGAATGATTATTATTATTCTTTCTTTTATATGAAATTCTACCCTCGAGTATAAGACGCAAACCCCATTTTTAGTGAATCTAAAACAGCTGCATTATTTTAAAGATAACAATACACAAATTTGAACTTGAACATGAATTGAATACTGTATATAATTTCCACTCGTTTTTGATGATTTCCTGTACAATACGATTTTTTGTTTTGTTTTGAGGGTACTTTCCTGTTATCTCTGTACCCTACTTTCCTGTTATCCCTGCACCTACTTTCCTGTTATCTCTGTACCTCATCCCTAGACCGCAGTACCAACCAGACAAATCTTTAGGACAAGTTCATAATCACAACAACCTACCAGAAACTGTGAATTTCATTTTTCCGCATTCTGCTGAAACTGATTTTGGGAGGCAGTTAGGTAATGTTAGAATAGGTCTGGTTATGTTAATTACAAATATCTTTTAATTAACATAACCTGACCTAACCTAACTTTACCTAAACACCTCCCAAAATCAGTTTCTGCTTTCTTTGGGTTTCTGCTGAAACTGATTTTGGGAGGCAGTTAGGTGAAGTTAGGTTAGGTCAGGTTAAATTGGTCAGAGGGAAGGTACAGAGATAACAGGAAAGTAGGTACTGAGATAACAGGAAAGTACTGAAAAGGCTCTACCAGGGTTAGGTCAGGTTATGTTAGTTACAAATATCTATTAATTAACATAACCTGACCTAACCTAACTTTACCTAACCGCCTCCCAAAATCAGTTTCAGCAGAAACCCAAAGAAAGCAGAAACTGATTTTGGGAGGAGGTTAGGTAAAGTTAGGTTAGGTCAGGTTATGTTA